ACCGACCGACCGTGATGCTTCACGATTTCGGCATCTCGGCAGTGGCAGTCCTCGGCCGTATCGTTTTGTCACAAGTTTCGGCACCAAAGGCGCTTCTGTCAAAGCTCACCAACCAAACCGTTTTGGATACAGTAGCTGGTTTCTCAAAGAAGCAAGTGAACAACTTTGGAGCTGACTTTGGAACTTTCCTGGTGCCAACTCGTGACATCGTCTAAAAACAACAAGCCAATTGGCGCGGCGAATTGACCTTCGCCGCCACCACGGCAGCCACCGACATCTCCAATGAGAATGCATCATATCTTTCCCTGACATTGACTCACGGTTATATTCTGATCAGCACCGCTCGAAACATACCTTCATGTGTATTGTTCACAGTGCAAAATCCTGTTCTTGATGAAACATCGGTGTAATAAGCCAAAAGTGACAGTAAGTTTACACAGACGACTGTTAGATATTTGAGAAAGTTATTTTCAAAGTACTAGAGTTTTTCAAAATACGTTTCATGGGGATCTAGGCGCTGACACTCCGCATTAAAGTTCAAAAATATTAGTCTGTTTAAATATGTTACTTTATTTCGTTATTCAGTTAGTTTGATTCTGATTCAGCGACTTAACAACCACCGTTGAATCTGGAACAAGATCCTCAACGATCACGCATCTCAAGGTTGCAAGGCGTATCAAACCTGATATAATTGCCCTTCCAATTTTTCTAAAATAATGAGCTCTGTTTCGGCGCCTGGCCGTGGCTTTTCCTGATGCATATTTGTACGATTTGGTTATTAGTGTGTGGTTTATGTAATTATGCGGATAAGTTTGTCACGTGATGCGCCACTTCATCTGGCGTACATTTGTTCATAGTTTTACAAAGGCTAATTAGCAGATTTTGTACGTTTCTTCTGCTTGTTGAATTTGTTCTTTGTCCGAAGCACCGTGCCTGTTTCGATAACCTTCCGCGTGCCTAGATCCCCTTGAAACTTCCTTTGAAGAATACTTGCTACCATATTAGACGATTCACTGAAAAAAATACCCTGCCGTAGTCGTATTTACAGCGAGCTTGACGACAAATCATTTTAGGCGCAATCATGAGATGTGTCATAAGAGTACTGAAAAACAATTTTTAGAAGGC